TTTAAGATTACCTAGAGAATAATAAAATTAGGTAAAGAGTAGAAACTATTAAAATCTTTAATAACTATAAAATATTTAAAGAAGCTCTTAAGGGAGTTTTTAAGGAACCTAATAAATAATAAGTTATAATTTAGTAACTTAAGAAATTATAATAGATAAGCTCTACTACTAAATATACTATAAAGTTTAAATAGATTACTATATATTTTAACTAGGGAGATAATCCCCTAATAACCTACTTTTATAATAGATTAAAAAAAGATATTAAAGATAAGCTTTATAAACTTAAAAGACTAGTATAATTAGCTAAATATATAGAAAATACTATTAAGATTAATAACTAACTATATAAATAATAGTAATAAAAGAGAAGCTAAAATATTATAATAAAAGTTTATAAACTATAAGCCTCTACTAATATTAAGTAGAAATAAAGTAATAGTAATATTTTATAGGGAACCTATTCTAGACTTATAAAATTAGGAACTAATAATAAAAATATTATTTCTAAGTTACTTAAAGATAAGATTAATAAGTATTTTCTATATAGAAAATATAGATATTTTATATAAAAATATTAAATAAAATATAAGCTTAAGCTAGATTATAAAAAACCTAATAGAAAGAAAACTTAGAAACTAATACCTAAAGGGAAGGCTTAATAGTTAGGAGCTAGTATAGTTAATTACAAAATTTTATTATAGATTATATATTATAATAATAGCTATACTATTTACTAAAGTAAAAAAGATAGAGCTAGATAGTACTTTAAAAAACCCTAAACTTTTAGGATAATATAATAAGAAGAGATTATTAACTAGAAGACCTATCTTATAAATAGTATTATAAAGAAGTATATTAATATTACTATTATATACTATATTTATTATAATAGCTTATATATAAGTTAAAATTAAAAGAATTAGTAAAAACTAGAGAGAAGATAATTTTATATACTAAACTTATTAAATAACTTAGTATAAATAAATTTAAACTAGGAAGATTAAAGAATAATTTCTAAATAGATAAAAAAATTAAAATATAAATATAGAAAAATACCTTAAAGCTACTAATAAGCTACTAACTTTATAATAAAGAATAGGAGGATTATTAGTAGAGGATTTAACTAAGAAAAGAATAGTATTAATCTAAAATAGCTATATAAGGAAAATAGGTATAGAAAAGAGTAAAAGGGAATACTAGTAAAAGGAATTTTATATAAGTAGAATAAAATGTAGATATAAAAAGTAATTTAATTAATTTATAAAGATAAATTAACTAACTATACTATACTCTCTAAAATATAAACTTATAAATCTAAAGGTAATAAAAAATTATCTTTAATATTTTAGACTAAGTTAATTAATTAGAAATAATATTTTATAATAAAGATTTCTAAATAGAATTNATATAGAAAAATACCTTAAAGCTACTAATAAGCTACTAACTTTATAATAAAGAATAGGAGGATTATTAGTAGAGGATTTAACTAAGAAAAGAATAGTATTAATCTAAAATAGCTATATAAGGAAAATAGGTATAGAAAAGAGTAAAAGGGAATACTAGTAAAAGGAATTTTATATAAGTAGAATAAAATGTAGATATAAAAAGTAATTTAATTAATTTATAAAGATAAATTAACTAACTATACTATACTTTCTAAAATATAAACTTATAAATCTAAAAATAATAAAAAGTTATCTTTAATACCTTAGACTAAGCTAATTAATTAGAAATAATATTCTATAGTAAAGACTTTTAAATAAAATTTTAATAATAAATTGATAACTTAAGAGAATAAATTAATTTTATAGAAAGTACTAAAATTAGTATTAAGAAGGAATTAATAGAATTCTAAAAAATCTTTAAAGAGAAAATTAAAAGCTTAATAAAAGAAATAAACTAAAAATGAGAAGAATAGTTTACTAACCTACTAATTAGTTATTATATAGCCTTTAAGGAGAAAGAAGAAAGGAAGATTTTCTAAAAAATTATTAAAAACTTAGAAGAAAAGGTATTTTAATAAATCTTAAAGATAATAAAAGAAAAGCTAGACTTTAAATAATTAGAATAGGAAGTAATATAATACTTATTAGATTTATAAAGTACTACTAAGTAATAGTTTTATTACTTATAGACTTTAAAAAACCCTAAACTAGAATATAAGTTAGAGCTACTAGATAAAAAAGATAACTTATAAGAATAAGTTAATTAGTAGAAGAAAGAATTCTATTACTATAAAGTTTATATTATAGAACTAATAGATAACCTTAAATATTAAGTTATTATAAAAATTAACTAGCTTAGAGAAGAACTTAATAAAGAAACTAATAAGTAACTAGAGCTTATATATAACCTAGTTAATAGTTAAAAAGAAATACTAGAGCTAAAAAAAGCCTAATAAGTATAATATAAAGAAATTAAGAAGTTATAATAATAACTAATTAGTTTATAAAGAAAGTAATATAGTAAGATATTATTAGTTATTAAAGAAGTTACTTAAGTAATAGGATCTAGATCTTAAGGGGACCTATAAAAGATAAATATTATAGAAAAATAAAAGATCTACTATCTAAAAGTATTAATTACTTTAGTAAACTAAAAGTTAATAGCTCTAGTAGATAGTAGAATATAAAAAAACTTTATTTTACTTATAATTATTAATAAATTAAAACTCCTATAAATTATAAAAGACTAGCTCTATATTCTAAATATATATAATAAAATACTAGTTAAATATAAAGGTAGAGTTATAAATACTAAGACTATATACTTTTATATTATTATTGCTAGAAGAATTAATAATATTTCCTTTAATATTACCTAGATAGTAAATTACTTTATTATATTAGGAATACTATAGCTATAAATAAGAAATTTATAGATTAATTAGGTAATTAATTAGCTTACTTAGAATAAGATTAAGTAAGGCCTAGAGAATAACTTAGCTTCTAAATAATATTAACTAAAAAAGTTACTTTTAAATAAATTAAGAATTTTTAAAATAATAATCTATTTTAAAATACTTACTATA